CGAACCATGGTAGCTGGGTTGCTCAGATAAAGGGATGTTCCCAGCCCAAATACAACTTTAAGATTTAAAATTCGGCCCCTCAGTGTGCATAGTTCTCACGTGCGGCCTTGTGAAAATTTTTGCAAAAACGCACGTTCGTATGCTAACCCTCTGTACTCCCCAGTGTGCATCGCCAGTAATTTCTTTCTTCCTGTTGGCCAGTTATTATTATCCCGATACTTATGCGTTTCGCCTCATTACCGCTCATCTAAGTACTGTTTTTATGTTGCGAATACCGCTCACTGACATAAACGCGTGTCACATATCCTTTACTGCCAGTCATGATCATGCATTGAATTACGGGCGCATGACCGCGTAGCCCGGGATTTATGATATCCTAAATATATTGGAAGAGACACGCTCAGCAGTTACGCGTTCCTCTCCTCTCTGCAAAAGCTGGCGTTTGTTTTATTCTTACCTGCTCCTCAGCCATGTTCTAAATCTGCACGCTATTGCTTTTAACGTAGCATCACTCGGGAGAAATCATTTTTCCGTCCGACAGTTTGAAAGCATCTTCCTGATAAAGCAACTAGCGAGATTTGTAGATTGTCAGCTTGCGACGTTTCTGTTTTATTCAGGTCGAGACGACGGTACCTGAAGATTCGCTGCTGGTCACAAATGGTGTAAGTGCAATAAGGCAGGTACTTCATCCCCTTGCATTGCGCTCATCATTTGTGCTGTCTCCCCTCTTCTACAAATTTATCAATATCTCACGATACGAAGCTTTACCGGACGATGGAAACTGTTCGCTGGAAGACGAGTTAACTTTTATCAGAGACAGGGTACTGCGTTACTTACATCGGGGTACGTTTTCTACCACTTGATTTTTTAGATTCAATACATTAACGATTTTATTGTCAGGCGAGCAATATTCTCGCTTCAGGCTATTAGCAAAAAACATAAAAATAATTTTTGGAAAAAAAAAACAAAATATTTCTTGTCCATGTACAACTCCGCAAAATTAAATTCTAGCTTTCACATTTTTTTAGATTATGCATATGGTTAAGTAAGGATTTTGACGGGAAAAGGATTTTGGTTCTTTTTCACTCGGGAACCAGATAAGATCGGAAGCCTGAAAATTTGAGGTGTTTCATGGCATTGCACGAAACGGGAAATTTTAGGCCCAGCTGCGAAGTGCGCCAACAAATACGTGGAAGTTTAGATAGGACCACTGGCAATCATTCCAATTCCAGAAACAGCTATGATAGTAAACTGAAATCTCACGAAGATGAATAATTTCTATGCGTGTCAAAGGAAATTTAAATTAGTTTCCATTTGCACCTAGGCTCCACGTATGCATGCGTTAGAATTTCTAGCGGGAAATTTCCCTGCTCTAGAGCCATACAAGACAAAGGCTGAAATTTAAAAGGATGTTTCTTGTTCATTTGCTACTTCAGAAATCTTGAATCAGTTCTC